GGAGGAAAGTTACCCAGAGGGAGAAGAGGACGCAGCCTTTTGCGTGGCCACAGCGGTCTGAGCGCGCTCACACGCGCATGCAGACGCGCGAGATCTTGCCTCTCAACGGTCGTATTCCTTCCATGTGAGGGCAGGGGCTACACGCGGCAGAAGCCACAGACCTCCGAGGCCCTGATCTGTTCTCCACGCGGGCACCATCGCTCTCGACCCCTGCCCGCGGACACGCATCTGCCCTGGATGCCAGCTTGCTCCTTGACGGCCCCAAGGCTTGGAAGCAGCCCCTGGAGGCCCAACGTGACGACAAACACTTCGCCCTGACTTGTCAGCCAGGACGTCGGAGGTCTGCGGACGAGGCGGCCCCGTTTCGGCCGCGGCGGGTGCGAAGGAAAAGCCGGCCCTCGCCCTGGCCGGCACCCCGCTGCCGGCGCGCGCCCAACTGGCCCACTGGGCTGGCGGCGAGCACGAGCGGGGGGCCGCCGCGCGACCTGGCACGGCGCGGCGTTGGGCGCTGGCGGGGGACGGCTCTGGCCCCGGGTGGCCCCAGGGCCGCGGCTGCCAGGGAAGGCCTGGCGCTCCAGGAAGAGCTGGTGTCCTCTGGAGCAGGGTCCGGTCGTTCCCGGCTTGCACGGCGGGTTGCGTGGCGGTGGGTTGCGCGGTGGGCTGCTCGGTCGGCTGCACGAGGGGTCGCGAGGTGGGCTGCGCGGTGGGTCCCAAAAGGCCCCGGTCTTAGGTCGGGCCTGTCCCCCTACAGGGGGGATTTTGGACGGAGAATAAGAAAAACTCAAAAAATACTCAAAAGATGCCCAAAAATACTCAAAAATAGTTCCCTGACTATTGTTTGACTGAATTTGAATATTCCCCCTGAAGAGGGACAGGCCCGGTTTAACCCAGTCGAGGCACGGAGGGGACGCCGAGGCTCCATGGCCCGGGGCGCCCGAGGGCACCCTCTGGGGCAGGGGGTGCGTCTGCGGGCGCCCCCGAGAGGTCTGACATCCCGAGCGAGGCGATGCTGGCTGCCCGCGCGCCGAGGCACCGCCACCAGGCGGGGCCAGGGCCATCCCAGGGCTGAACCTAAACGGCGTCTTTCGTTCTCGTTCTGTTTCCGTTTTCCCTCGCCTTTTGCCTCGAAGCCGCCTTCACTGCAAAACGAGGTCGACACCAGAGCGGCCAACGAAAAGGCACCGTTCGGGTCCAGCCCTGGGCCGGCCTTGCCGAGGCCAGGCAGGTCCAGGATCCGAGGGCCCGGGGAAGTCCTGGCCAGGCAGAATTCGACGAGCGCGCGCTCCACGACTCGCAAAAAGTAACTGCTCGCAAATGGCCCGGGTCCCCCGCGGGCGATCCACGACAAAGTACATCAAAGCGGACACGGTTTTTCTCGGACGTTTGCGAGTAGGCACTTTCTGCGAGTAGCGGAACGCGCTCGGCGAATTATGGTCGTCTATCCGCCTCCGTGCTGCAGGCACTGGGTGGAGTGTCCGCCGGTCCCTTCAACCTCCCTATACCCAACATCCTAAGAAGGGGGTGTCCAAGATGGGGGGTGCACATCATGACCGGCGGCATGTGGAAGGCCCAGGGGGGGGCTGAGGACGTAATGAAATAAGAAGAGGCGCCACGAAATCTGAGGAAATATCGTGGCCCACGCCATGATATCCATCCCCCCCTAGTCATTACCCCCGGTAAAGCGTCTTCGACAATCTTGGGCCGTCTTGGAGACCATCCTGGGCCATCCTGGCCGTCTTGGAGGCCGACGCCGTGCAGATTCTGGCCAGTTTTCTGGCCGTTGCTGGCACGCGAGCGCCCTGAGACAGCCCAAGAGGGCCCCAGGATGGCCCAAGACGGGCTCCCAATATGGCCCAAGACCCCCAAGAAGGCCCAAGCGGGCCCAGCAAGAGCTTCAAGACAGCCCCGGGACGGCCCCCAAAAGGCCTCTCCAGGAGGCGGTCCCGAACATGTTGCGGATCTTCTTCTGCCCAGGCGATCGGCACCCAGAGGGTCTTTCCTCTCCACGTGGGCGTGGAGCGACGGCGACTCGCCGAGGGAGTCTCCGACCCGAGCGGTGCTTGGCGTGCCAGATCAGAGAAACAAAGCCCACGCACACGTACACACACACACACGAACACACACGAACACACACACACACACGAACACACACGAACACACACACACACAAACACACACACACACACACACACGAACACACACACACACACACACGAACACACGCACACGAACACACACACACACACACAAACAAACAAACAGACACACACACACACACACACACACACACAGTTGGCGGTCGCGGCCTCGCGCGCGGCGACGAGGCGGAGCAAGTCAAGTAGGGCGGCCGAAACCTTGGGCGGTGCCCGCGCGCGACGGCTCAGGAGGGGGGCAGCACATGGCCGTCCGGGCGAGCACGGCGGGGAGGAGGGGAGAGCGCAGTGGCCGCCGCCCGAGGGGACGTCCCCCTAGGAGGGCGCAGCGCGGGCACGACGGAGGAGCAAGGCGTACAGCAACCGACCAAGACGGCGGGCTGGAAGAATTGCCACGGGACGCTACCGCTTGGCCTTCCTCCCCTGGGGACGCGAGCACAGACACGCACACACACACACACACACACACACGAACACGAACACGAACACACACACACACACACACACACACACACACACACGCACACGCACACGCACACGCACACGCACACACACACACACACACACACACACACACACACACGCGCGCGCGCAATTTTACTCCCTCCAGTGTGCAGCACGATCGCGAAATACACACAAACAAACAAACAAACAAACAAACAAACAAACAAACAAACAAACAAACAAGTAAACAAACAAACAAACAAACAAACAAACAAACAAACAAACAAACAAACTGGTTGTTCCTTCTCAAACTCCTGGTGGTCTTCGGCACGTCCCGCTAGACCCCAGAACGACCACAAAATTAAGGGAACTCGTCACCAAGATGGCCAAGATGTCCCCAGGTGGACTTCAAAACGGCCCAAGACAGTCCCCGATACCCTCCAAGATGCGTCCTGGTGCCTCCAAGATGGCCCAGGAGGGCCCAAAGACTGTCCAAGATGGCTTCAAAGACGACTGAGCAGGCGTCCAAAGAGGCCCACGAGGGCTCCAAGGGGACTCCCGGGAGGGCCTCCAGAAACAGGAGCCATTGCCTTTCCTTCGACGCGTCGGCGTTTGGCCTTTGAATCGTCCAAGACTTTTTTTTTTGTTTTGGGCCTTTGAAACGTCCAAGACGGCCCAAGAAGCCTTGGGCTGGGCCAAGACCGCCCAGAAGGGACGCAAGAGGACGCTGGCACGATCGAAGAGCGCCCCAAGACAGCCCTGGAAGGCCCCGAAAGGTCCCCACGACGGCCCAGGGAGGTCACCGAGTCGACCTCCGAAGACATAAAAACTGCCCACGAGCGCCCTAAGACGGCCTCAGAGAGCCCCAAGATGGCTTGAGAGAGCCCTGCGGAGGCCCTCAAGCAGGCCCGAGAGGCCCAGAGAGATCACCAACTCATCCCCCAAGACGGCCCCAGAGAGGCACCCTCGCCAGCGCTCCCTGGCACAGCTCGAGTGGCACGCGGCCCCCTGGCCCTGCCGCGCCGACGCCCGACGCTCCGCCGCACTGGCTCTCTCCGAAGGCAGGAGGCGGCGGTGACTCGCTGGAGGCGTCTTCGACTGCTGCCTCCCGGGCGAGGCGATCACGGGCCGCCCCGGCCGCCCGGAGCGGGGTGAAACAGCACGGGAGGGGCAGGCGGGCAGGCAGCGCGGCACCCGGGCCACGGGCTCTGCCGGAGGCGCCTGTGCACCGCCCCAACGCCTGGCCGGGGCCCTCCTGTGCCCTGGACGGTGCACAGAGCCAAAGGGGGGCCCTGGTACACACCAACAGCTTACACACACACACACACACAAGTCCCAGGATTCCCCATCTTCTCCCCTGTTCTGCGGGCCTTCGCCTCTCCCCCCCCAAACTTCCTATACTTTCCCACATGGGCCGGGGAATCCACGATGACTTGGGTCTGTGTGTCTTTTTCCCTCCTGAAGAGTACAGATGCTCCCGGCCTCGGCCAGGAGGGCGTATGTGCCACACGGCACAGCATGGCCCTGGCGAGGCGTGGTGGTGGAGCACAGGTGCCGCCTGCGTGACCGACGCGGCGCGGCCCTCTGCGCGATCTCTACCACACCGATCGCCGCACGTCCGCCCAAGGCCTGTCGACAGACTTGCCCTCAATGGAGGTCACCTGGGACTGCATCGGCTCTGAGAACCTTAGCTTGAACGTGACCTTGCCAGCCATCACCCTGTCGATGTGGTCCCTGCCGCCTGCGTATTTGTAGGCCTGGTACCTCTCCTCGATAAACTTCTGGCAGTTGCCTTGGAAGGGCGACCAATGGTCTTTGTGCCGGAACTCCCACGTAACCTGACCCGTCTTGCCCTTGCCGCCCTCCTTTCCCTTGCCCTTGCCCTTGTCCTTGTCCTTGCCCTTGCCCTTGTCCTTCTCCTCTCAGGGCGGCGACATACCACAGCGATGATTGGATTCGGCCTCATAGGGAGGGGAATAAAGAGGAGGAGGAGAATGAAGAAGCAGATGAGGAGGAGGAGGAGGAGGATAAGGCGCCATGTATCATCGCTCGCAGAGCCCTGCTCTCTCTCGTCTCCCCCGCTCGCATCCTCTGGGCCCAGTGGCGAAGGCCATGAATGCCAGGGTGCCAACCAGCCTTCGCTCAGAACCCGCCCCGTGGACGCCCTCGAAGTCCATGCTGGCCAGTTTGCCCCAGGGGCCCAAATCAGGCCCACAGAAGCCCAAATCGGGTAAAAAGCTCTGGCGCCGATCTTCCCTCAACGCCCTCGGTGTCCTGGAAGAGAGCTGTCAGGCCAGGGCCCCCACCTCCCCCGCCTCCCTCCCCACACCGCCTCCTCCTCCCCCCCTCGGAGCGCCACTTTTCCGGATCCGTGTGTTTCCTCTTCGTTGTCGCCCCCTCCTTTCCCCTGCTCCCCCTTCCCCTGCTCCTCCTGCCTCCGCCTCCTTCTACTCCAGCTCCTGCTGCTGCTGCTGCTGCTGCTGCTGCTGCTGCTGCTGCTGCTGCTGCTGCTGCTGCTGCTCGTCCTCGTCTTCCTCGTTCCCCGTCCTCCTCCTTTCCATGCTGCCCATCCTCCTGCTCATCCGCCACCTCCTCCTCCAACGTACGCCGCTCCCCTTTTCCGATTGCGCATTGCAAGGTGGGGCACTTTCAGCCCGCTACGACTCGCAACGGCGGACAGATAATTCAACGCAATGGGAATGGGAGGGACAAGACGTCAGATATGATCCCGGGCTCCTGGCCCACGGGCCCACCCCCCCCAAGAGGGGATGAGTCTCAGGGTCCCTCGGCTCCCCCACCTGATGGGATGGGGGGGGAACGACGACGACGACGACGACGACGACGACGACAAGGACGGCGACGACGACGACGACGACGACGACGACGACGACGACGACGGCGACGGGGACGACGACGGCGACGACGACGACGACGACAACGACGACGACGACGACGACGACGGCGACGACGACGGCGACGACGACGGCGGCGACGATGGCGACGACGGCGACGACGGCGACGACGACGACGACGGCGGCGGCGCCGCCGCCGCCGCCGCCGACCTCCAGAGCTCCCCGACGACGACGACGGCGGCGGCGGCGACGACGACACCTCCAGAGCTCTCCTGGCACCACAGGGGGGGGGGGGGGGGGCCATTTCGCCCGGGGAGGGCAAGGGTGGGGTGGGGGAGGGGGGGGGGCCGAGGCCGGGTGGGCGATGGGGCCGGGGGGGGGGGGGGGGGGGGGGGGGGGGGGGTGCCGATTGGGGGGGGGGGGGGGGGGGGCGGGGGGCGATGGCACCAGCCCGGCATGAGGGGGGGGCCCGAACCCTGGCCCAAGATATGGCGCGAGCGCCACCGAGCTTTTGCCTTCCCCATTTCCTCCTCCCTTCGCCTCCTTTCCTCTCCTCCTCTTCTACCTCCTCCCCTCCTCCCTCCTCCTCCGCCTCTTCCTCTCCTCGTTCCCCCTCCTCCTCCTCCTCCTCCTCCTCCTCATCCTCCTCCCTCCCCCCCTTTTTCCCCCCCTTTTCACTCCTCCCTCCTCCCTCCTCCTCCTCCTACTCCTCCTACTCCTCATCCTCTGCTCCTCCTCCTCCTCTCCTCCTCCCCTCCTCATTCGTCCTCGTACTCCCGCATCCTCCTCCTCCTCCCCCTCTTCCTCCGCCTCCTCCTCCTCCTCCTCCTACCCTCATCCTCCTCATCCTCCTCCTCCTCTCCTCTCCCTGTCCACATCCCCCTCCGGAACCACATCATTATATCAGTATCCCCCATCCTCCTCCTCCTCCTCCTCCTCCTCCTCCTCCTCCTCATCATCATCATCATCATCATCATCATTAGCATCAGCATCAGCATCAGCATCAGCATCAGCATCAGCATCAGCATCAGCATCAGCTGCATCGTCATCATCATCATCATCATCATCATCATCATCACCACCATCATAATCATCATCATCAGCAGCAGCATCAGCATCATCATTATTACAACAGCATCAGCATCAGCATCAGCATCAGCATCATCATCAGCATCATCATCATCGTCATCATCATCACCATCAGCATCAGCATCAACATCAGCATCATCATCATCCTCATCATCATCATCATCATCATCATCATCATCATCATCATTAGCACCATCATCATCGTCATCAGCCGCAGCATCATCATTCTCATCAGCAGCAGCAGCAGCATCGTCATCATCATCATCACCACCATCCTCATCATCAGCATCATCATCGTCATCACCAGCATAATAATTATCAGCGTCAACGTCCTCCTCCTCATCCTCCTACCCCTCGTCATCATAATCGTCATCATCATCAGCAGCATCACCATCGTCGTCATCACCATCTTCATCACTATCAGCGTCAACGTCGGCATCCTCTTCCTCCCCCTCCTCTTTCTACTCCTCCTCGTCGTCATCATCGCCATGGTCGTCGTCGTCGTCACCGTCACAATCATCGTCATCATCATCATCAGCACCATCATCAGCATCATCATCACCACTGCCATCAGCATCACCATCATCACTATCCTGAGCATCATCATCACCATCAGTGACCATGATCACCTTCATCAGTGCCATCAGCATCCTGGTTCAGAATAGTCATCATCAACGCCATCGTCATCATTCTCATCATCGTCGTCATCGTCATCGTCATTGACATCATCGGCATCAGCATCATCGTCATCGTCAACATCGTTGGCATCAAACACAGCATCATCATCGTCGACATCGACATCGTCATGGTCACCATCATCATCAGTATCATCATCAGCATCATCATTACCCATCACAATCATCCCTATCATCCTCATCATCACCATCAGCATCATCAGCAGCAGCACCAGAATAAGCCTGCGCGTCAGCCTTAGCCTCAGCATCAACATCATCACCATCAACATTGTCATCATCATCATCGTCAGCAACATTATCATCATCATCAACGTCACCATCATCATCATCATCATCATCATCATCAATATCATCATCATGATCGTTAGCGTAATCATCATCCTCATCATCATCAAAATCATCATCATCGTCATTAGCAGCAGCAGCATCAACGACGTCATCATCACCATCATCAGCAGCATCACCAGCATCATCATCGTCATCGCCATCATCATCATCAGCATCATCTTCATCGTCATGTCCACCATCATCATCATCATCATCATCATCATCATCAGCATCAGCATCAGCATCAGCATCATCATCAGAAACATCAGCATGTTGCTCTTCAACAGCATCGTCGTCATCATCATCGACATCTTCATTAGCAGCATCAGAACCGTCATCTTCATCGTCATCGTCACGTTCGTCGTCACCGTCATTGCCATTATCGTCGTCATCATCATTATCAGCAGCACGATCGGTGTCATCATCGTCACCATCGCTGTCATCATCATCACCAGCTTCATCATCATCAGCATCATCATTACCGACACCATCAGCAATCATAATCGTCATCATCACCGTCATCATCATCATCATCATCATCATCATCATCATCATCCTCAGCATCATCATCCTCGCCATCATCATCATCATCATCATCATCAGCATCATCATCACCATCATCCTCAGAATCGTCATCGTCAAAATGACCCTCGTCATTGTCAACGCCATGTTCATGATCATTGCCACCACCATCATCAGCATCATCGGCATCATCAACATCAACATCAACATCGCCGTCGTCATCATCATCACACTCATCAGAATCGTCGTCGCCGCCGTCGTCGTCGTCATCATCCTCATCATCATGATCATCATCATTATATCATGGCCGTCGTCATCGTCGCCATCATCATCATCATCAGAATCGTCATCTTCATAATCCGCATCATCACCATAGTTTTCATCGTCCTCATCGTCGCTGGCGACGATGACGGCGTCATCATCATCGTCATCGTCATCATCATTATCACCATCATTATGATTATCATCATCATCAGCATCAGCATCATCATCAGTATCATCTCCAGTCTCATCATCATCAGCAGCATCAGCATCAGCATCAGCATCAGCATAATCATCATCATCACCATCACCATCACCATCACCATCATCATCATCATCATCATCATCATCATCGTCTTCGTCGTCATCGTCATCGTCATCATCATCACCATCAAGGCGACTTTACAAGAGCCATCAAGCTAATTAGATCAGATCACCATCAAACCGGCTGATCCAACGTGCGAGTGTAAAAGAGCCTGAGCTTCAGCTCAACTCTGCGGGGGGGAGTGCCGGGGTGGGTCTGCCGGGAAAAAGGGAGATGAAGGGGGGGGGCGTGTACTAAATTCCCCCCCCCCAGGGTGTGTGTGGGGGGGGGCAATGTTGTTATTGATCTGTCCGTTCCGAGTATGTGGAAAAGGGTCGCAGGGACCCCCCCAGAACCGGGGGGAGGGAGCCCCAACCTCACACCCAGAAATGGGACAAATCACAACCAATTCCAACTACGTTAGTACTGCTTCCAACCATTTGAGTAGCAATTTCAAGCAATCTAATATGAATTCCAACCAACCTCCACGAGAAACCCTTCAGGCGTCTTAGAGGTTCGCGGGGAGTCTTTTCCCTCTGCTCGCGGGATGCGAGGGAGTTTGCTCCATTCTCTGATTCATCTGATTCACCTCTTTCTCTTCTTCCGCCTCCTCCTGCTCCTCCGCCTCCTCCTCCCCCTCCTCCCCCTCCTCCTCATACCCTCCTCCTTCGGCTCCTCCTCCTTCTGCCCCCCCTCCTCCTCCGCCTCCTCCTCCTCCTACTCCTCCTCCTTCCTCCCCCCTCCTCCTCCAATTCCTCCTCGCCCTCCTCCTCTCCTTCCCACAACCCCCTTCGCTCGCTCGCTCTTTCCCTCAAGCCCGTAAGCCCTTGAACCCCTAAACCCTCAAACCCTTAAACCTTAGCACCCTA